TTCACTTGAAAGCTGGACTCAGTGATCTTTGTGGGTCCCATCCAATTCAGAATATTCTGTGATTCTGGCGCTCTTGCTTCAAATTATCTCAGCCAAAAGCAGAAGCAACCTTCATGCTAGAGCTGCTGTTTTACTTGTCAATACACCAATCCCTCAGCAGATACCTGCCTGCTTGGTAGAGATTAGGCAGAACCTACTTCTGCCCCATGTCCTCTACCATGGACAGCGCATGGAGCACACGAGTCACTATGGGGAGTGCATGCCTCACAGCACAAGCACTGCAAATCCAAGCAGGAATACACATCCTTTATTTGCATCATTCAAGACTATCAGCCTGCCTTCATCTTGCAAGGGCCAATGGGCCACGTTCACCTTCCCACTAGCACAAGAAGGTGGTGCAACTTGGCAGCTGCCAGTAGTGAGAAATTCCTGCTCTCTGGGAAATGGGGAGAGAGAAATATAATATCTATGCAGGATGATCCTGGGATGGCACCACAGAATCCAAATCAGATCATATTCTGAGTTCAAAGGGATCCACAAGGATCATCAAGTGCAGCACTTAAGTGAATGGCCCACCCAGGGGTTGATCCCACAGCCTTGTTAACAGCGCCATGCTCTAACCAACTGAGCTAATCTCAGGGTCCAGCACAGCTGGCCTGAAGTGAGAGTGGATTTGAGGTGAAAATTCTTTGCACTTTCTCCTTCTAGTCAGTCAAAGCCACATGACTGAAGGAGGGGTCCCTCTCATCCTCACATCCAAGTGTTGCCCACCCTCTCAGCATGGCATGGACAGAGCCTGGAGCTACAGCTGATTTTCTTATACTGAGGCAGGAGCAGCTCTGAGATCACTCAGGCAACCCCAGCATTAGGCCAGGACAAGTCCTCAGATAATACACAATGGTTCCTTGGGCTGAAGACATGTCCCCAGCCTGGTATGGTCACACAGAAGGTTCAGTGCAGCCCTCTAGGCAGGGATGCCTCTGCATACCAGTGGGTACTGCCTGACTGGCTTTTGCTGGGACTCCAATTCAGGAGCAAGTGGCCAAAGACAATTTGGATCTGCAGATTGGTTTCTTTCCCACTAAGCACTACCGCTGTCCTTCTCCCACTGGAATCTCTGCCTGCAATTAGTTCCCTAGGAGGGGGCTTGTCTGTGCCATTAAGAACAGTTACATTACATGATCTAGGGGAAATCAATGTCTTTAATAGTCAGCAAAGGCAGTGGAGGAGAGGGTGATGGGAGGGCTGTTTCTCTGGAGACACCTTTCTCAGAAGAATTCCCAGAGTTATTGCCCCAGGAAGAGAAATGGCAAGGACTTGGCATAATTAAACTTCCATGGAACAATTGTTTACTGGAAGAAGCACAGAAGCTGCTCAGTGTCTCTCAGAAAGGCAGAGGCAGTGGCTAGACTCTTCCCAAGGTGCAGATGAAGTGCCTCTGCCCTGAAGTCAGCAGTCTGTGGTGATTTACACCATGCTGGCAAATGGTGGGAGGAGGGGTGTGGATAGATATCTTTCCTTTAAAATACCCCTTTTCCTCTGTCCACAGTGGTGTTTAAAGGTAAGACCACGCCTTGCAAGTTTTTAAGCATCTGGATCGTGCAGTATAATTAAGTTATCCTAAATGAAGCCTGAGACATTTTCATATCCTGAGGCAAGGAAACCTCAACTCTGCAGGCATCTTCCTCTCTCTCTTTCTCCATTTCCTCCTTCTTGTACACCTCTGCGGTTCCTGGAATGACAAGCCACCTCACCGGCTGGCTGTAATTGCTGGAACTGTTCCCTAATGCTTTTGCCTTCTCCAATTGCATTAAACTGCATCTTTAGAGGTACAGCCCTGTTTATTCATGCTGCTCCTGTGGAGGGGGGAAGAAACGCAGACTGCCTCTTCTCCCCTCTCCCTCCTTTGATTTGATGGGTGTGGCAGGTTTAAACCTTTGCAGCCGCTGGCTCTCTGGCGCTGGGGTGAGGAGGAGAGGATGGAACGGGAGGGAAGCCGTCGTCTATGGTTGGTGATGAATGAGACTCATCTCACCCACAAGTGGGAAACCTGCTTGCGGGTTATTGTTTAATCACTCATGCAATCCAATACTGAGCACATACCCCCATCATGTCCATCTGTTCTAGCATGCAGTGCATGCAACACTTGCATTTCTAGTCAGCTATCTCACTGCCCAGCCCTGCGTGTTACTGACTGCATCTCTCGCTGGCAGGAAAGGTTGAGTTCAGGTTTTCAGCTATAGCTCGACCCAGCCTTTCAGCTATGCTACCTCTCAGCTGAATATTTTGTGGGCTCAGATTCAGAGCTGCAGTCAACTGTAGGCAGAAATGACAACACTTAGCTATCTACATCTCTCATGGGCGGGCACAGTCAATCAGTCAGTCAGTCAAATACTTCACTCTTCACACTGGCATCGCACCCACAAAAAAGAATAATCTGCAAGGTATGAGCGTGTGAACATATTTGTCTCTGAGGGGTGGGAGGACAGACACACACAGGCACACCTAGACACAAATGTGAAGAGATTTCTTCCACGCCCAAGCCTGTAATTTCAACGTTTTGCTCTTTAGCTGCCAAAAAGGCGGGACACCAGGGACTTCCCCTGAAAAATAATTTGAGGAGAGCTATCTTTATTTTGGGAAGGAAACTCCTGCCCGTGCTGAAGAACCCATTCCATCTTTTTCTCTCAGTGAAAGGTCTGGGTGGGGACAGAGGAAGAGCACACGCTGAGAAAACCGAGGTCTTTTTCTCCTAACAGCCAGAGCTTTCTCTGGCTTACCATCAGCTTTCCCGAGCGAGCTGCCACATTTCGCGGTGTGCACTCAGGTGGAGGAGCGGCAGCTGGGCTCCGAGCCCACCGCCATCCACCAGCACGCTCAGGCGGCCACAGTCGTGCGGCGTGGCTGTGTGAGGCTCAGCAGAGGAGCATGTGGCGAGTGTGCCTGTGCCGTAGTAGCTGGGAGAGCGCTCGCAGAGCGGGGCCGAGCGCTGCCCGGGTACGCGCAAAGGGGCGGGCGCCATGCGGCGCCTTCGTGCGGGGCGAGCGCGGCACCTGCGCCCCCAGAAATGCCACGGAAACACCCAAAGGCAAGGCTGAGCACGGGGAGGTGTAAGGAACAGGTGCGACAGAGTGTCGTTCCGGGAGCTTTAGTGCCCGAGCTGCCATGGTATGGGCAGAATGATCCCTATTCCCCTGTAGCTCTCTTCTGACTCCAAAGAGCCCCAGAGCTCCTACTTTATTTTAAAATTTGCCGTGCACCTCCGCCCACTGCTCTGTCACTTTGCCTCCCTGTCTGCCTTCCTTCTCCTCCTCTGCTCTTTTCATCCCGTATTTGCCATCAGAACGTGCTCTGCTGGCTGACTGCAACATGTTCCCCACCCTCCCCCCCATCAGCCTTCACCCCCTCCTTCCAGATTTTAGTGAGCATATCATTAATTGCAAAGCATTTGAGAAACCTGCATGAGGAAAAAGACAGGATGACGCAGGGTCTCTTTCTATCCCAATCACTTGCCCCTCCCCATTATTCTACAAATTTCTCCTTCGTTTGCTAGCACACACATCTCCATTCAGAAACACACTTTAACCTGAATCTTCTTTCAACACTGTTCTGTTCACAGGAACTGTGGTTACTCACATCAGCGTGTGAACAGAATACTGCAGTGCTACACTGTAAGAGACACTGAATTTTACGCATATATAAAGAAAGTAACCAGTATGGTGCTGTGCCTGAGTTGAGTTTTGTGCTCAGAACGAGGACCAAAGCTCTTTGTCACTACTCACAAATTCGTAATTCTTGTAAGTTTCTAAAATGCCTTGCAAAGATATCTAGGGTCAGTTCCTGCCTCAAAGTTCCAACTGCATAAATCCAGCATCCTCTCAAGGAAATCCAAGAGGCTCAGCCAAAAAGGCTCTCCTAATCAAGAGCAGGTTTGGGCTTTCACACAAGATAAAAGGGGGAAGGGTGAGGGAGAAATGATCTAAGCAGTGCTTTTTTTGTTTCTAATTTCATTATCATTTTGAACACAAAAATTTTGACACTGAGAACTAGCCCCCACCCAAACCTTCTCATCATCTCAATTCCCTTATAGCAAAAGCCAGGCAGTACCAGGAAAGAAAATGAGAGGGTTTCCAACAGGTTCACACCACGAGCTTCTCTTATCCCACCCGAGTTCAGAGCTGACAGAGGCGTGGTCCTCTGTCTCTTTACCAGCTGGTGCACAGTTGTCTAACTGGTTGTACTATGAAGGATATTGCAAAGAGGGTGACTCTCCCCCTCCTTAGGCTAATGCTTTTGTTATTATTTAATTGGATTTTTCATTATAGCATAGGTTACAAAAAAATAAAAATTCTTTCAGGTTAATTCTTGCTCAGATTGTTGTAACACGAAAAAATGAATACACCTGTCCTCCGCGCCACCTCACAGCACAGGCACATAAAGCATCTCCCATTCATCAGAAACAGGAGCAATTGAGAGTGTTCTGACCAGGGATCAAGGCTCACTGGGCATCCGTTCTTTTTTGGCATAGGATGAAGAATTGCTTCCTTTATCTCCAAGGTAGAGCCAGATCTCATCACGTTTCCTGCCAGCCGCAACACTCCCCTCCACCTCCCCACCCCCCCCACCCCATCCACACCCTCAGAACCACAGACAGAAAATCCTAGGCAATATAACTGCCCCTATTAAAAAAAAAAAAAAAAAGAATAGAGGGGGGATTCTGGTAGGTCCCCCAAATGTGGATGTAGGCCACCCCCCTTCCCCACATCACCAGCCCCGGAAAGGCAAAACAGTCACGTTGCAGGGTGTGAAAAGAACCTTCAGTCGCAAGATGCTAAAGAATTGCAAAATAGACGTCTGCTGAAAGCAGCTGAAATTTCCTCCCCCCTTACCCCAACCCCTACCCCAGCCCCTAACACACTCAGGCTGACACGCACCCCACGGACATCCAGCAGCCTGGGAGATTTCTCAACAGAAAGAAATATAAAAATCTCAAGCTCTACCTGTTTTGTTCTTCTCATACAGCACAGCATGATCGTATTGTCCCCTTCCTTCCTTCTTCTTCCTTCCTTCTCCTCTCTCCTTTTCCTCTTCTCTCTCTTATCTCTCCCCCCCACCCTCTCCACTCCCTCCCTCCCTCCCTCCCTCTCTCTCTCCCTCTCTCTCTCGCTCACACACACATACACACACGAGCACACGCGCACACACACACCAGGGCAGTTAGCAGCAACTGGAAGGTCCACAGCTATTGCTCATCACACATGCACACGCTGCCTCTCCCTGCCTCCCTCCCTACCCTTCCCAGAATTGTTCACCAGCTCTCCCCGACTCGTCACCTCCCCACCCCACCCCCACCCGGCAGCCACCCCCACCCCCCCCCACCCCCCCCAGTCCCTCGCCAGCCTCATGAATAATTAAAATCTTCAATCTGGACCCAATTACCCAACGACTTTCCCACTGTACAGAGGCGACGGGGAGAGGGGACACTGCGGGCTGCGGAGGGGTGGGGTGGGCTGGGGGTGTCTGGGAGGAACCGGGCGAGGAGGGGACCGGGCGGCTGGGGAGCCCCCAGCCCTGCTCCCACCGGAGCCACGGCCAGGAGTGGGATTTGTGCGTGAAGAAAGCATAAATCTTTGCTTGGGTGGGGTGGGGTGGGCACGGAGGGGAGAAGAGGAAATGGAGGTACGGCCACGGCAGGCACTATATGCCATGCACAGGTGATGTACCGTAGGTGGGAGCTGCGAGCTAAACGGGAACTGGTAAATATGTTAAAATGGCTGTTAAAAATCCCTCTCCCCAGCACACTCGCGAACATATATACACGTGCTGCCTTCTCCGTGTGTGCAGGCATAAACCCTGAATAGTGATGTCCTGCACCACTGAACGGGACAACTTTCTCCCTTGTTCCCTCAGTCCATCCCACAGACCTTCTGCAGGTACAGAAAACGATACTCCCTCAATACTTCCTTTTTTTTTTTTTTAAACAGAATAGCTTGTGAACCCACAGAAATCATCCCTTTTCCTTCCCTAGAGATCTCAATTAATTTCCGTGTCTGAGTCATTTCTACACCTATTGATCTCTGCCTGCATAATTGCTGTGAACTATTGCGAGGCAGATGTGCGTATTCACACACAGAGGCACCCCCCATGCACATGTGGGAGCAGGAGTGCATGGGTCTGCATGCACAGGAGATCATGGCGATGCAGGAGCCCCAGAGAACATTAATGCGCACATGCACTCGCTCCCAAGCACACGTCTGGAAAGTTATAGCGCCGTGTTTCTTCAGCATATACATGAGCTGCATAGCTCTATCTGTCATTGTGAAAAAATATCCCAGACAACAGTTAAACCAGAGTGTGACAATGTTGAGCATGTTAAAAAAATATATATATATTTTTTTTAATTGCTGGATTTTTAGGATTTCATCTACCAAAATTCAAATTTTGCTTATTTCACTTATTGAGTCTGGGAGTCACAGTCAGATGCTGCTCTCTATTTAGCACTAATGTCACTGCATCAACTTCTCTGCCACACAACGGAGTTACTTCTAATTTATTTTTAATATAAAACTGCCAGCAAAAGAGAAAAAAAAAAAGTCTTAGGTTATTACTAAGGTCTTTGCTCTTTAATTACATCTAAATACATTATTAACACAAATATTCACGCATGCGTGCATGCTTATACAAATAAATGCACACGTATCTAGATATAGTTTCTGGAATACCCCTCAGTACAGACTCCTACATAATCATATCCTGTTGCTATGATATCATTGCAGTTCCCAGTACACCATTTATTTTAAGAAAAGCAAACAGCATTTCAAAGAAAATCTAGCTAGCTATCTACATCTGTATACAATTTAATAAAGTGTCCTTTGGGGTCAAGAAGGTATCAGCATTAGTCCTGGGTTACAGACTAGAAAAAGAAAGTAATGATATGGTAATGACATTCAGAGAAGATACTAAACTGGGAAGAGTTGCAATTACCAGCTGACACAGAAGTAGACCAAAGGATTAAGTAACAAAAATCAGATTCAGCTTCATAAAATGCATTCAGAGAAAAAGAATCACAACAGAAGTGCAATCACAAAAGAAGACAGCTGAGAACTGGAGTAGTAGAAAGTAGTGGACATCACCTTTGAGGAGGAGATCTCTGTGACGTATGTCACTGCTGGTGACACCATGCCAAGGCACTGAAGAGCAGTGCAATGGCATTTTGGATTACACCTATGGGACTCATGGCCTCTGCCCTGGCCTCTGGAGTTGCTGGGGGCTCATGTCCATGATGAAGAGAGGGTGTCATGAGCTTGTGGGCAGTTTGCCAACCCGCACGGCTGTTTCCTGTGCCCTTGGGAGATGGGAGTCCCCTGGTTAAACACATCTGAGAGCTTCAACTGGGTCTCCCTTTGGTGACAATGAAGAGAAACGGGAACCTGGAGGGTGTGACTCAGATCATCTTAAAGCAGGAGCCTAAACTAGGTCAGACAAATCATGCTTCAGAAGTGTTTTTGAAGCTTATTTTCTTCCCACTGACAAGGCCTTTTTAGGGAACCTCCCTGTGCTAGGGAGCCCTGACGAGGAAAGCCTTCCCAGCCTCCACCTTTCTCAGACACCCACATGGAGGGGGAGCAGGCTGGCAGCACAACTGTGCTGGTGCAGTCAGGGAGGGTCAGGCCATTTTCCTGTGCTCACCCACAGCAGTTGCTCACCCCCATCAGTCACAGCCAAAGGCAGAGCCAGATCTCTTCATGCCCACCCCCATGAGCACTGTACGCTCCAGTTTATTGCAAGTAACTTTTGGCACATTGACAAAACCTCCTTAATATGTTCCCCAAACATACACACTTAGTGGTGAGTGGCCACATCCGTGTTTCCTCTGAATTAATATCATTACAGAGAAGAGCCATTTGTTGAAACCCAAATTTTCAGGGCATGTCAGTTCCTAACACCACTATCTTTCAAATCAGGACCTTTTAAGTATATTTAAAAGTCGGACCTGAAATTCCTCAGCGAATTATATGGTTCTGGAAATCATATCCCAGCATCCCTTGCCTTGCCAGTTTGGCTGTTTTCACTTCAAACTGTAAAGTAAATTACTTCATAACACAGCAGGAAGAAAGGACAAGTCCACAGCAATGAAAAGGCCAAAGAGAATGAGAGGGAAATAAAGGCACGAACTTCAGCCAGGGAGTTAATGAAAATCAGAAGCAAAAACTAAGGGAGGAAGCACAGGTGAATCTCCCTGTCTTTAAGTGCCCAAGTCAAGATGGGATGCTTTCATCCAATGACACCTTTGTGTCTCCAGAGCGCTGCCAGCTCTGGCTCATTCAGCACTCCTTTGGAGTCGCAGGGTAACACTGAATCACGCAGCGTAGACATGCCTTGAAAGGTCCCTTTGACCTTGGCTTTTGAATCTACACAACTAAAAGGAAGAGCAGTTCCAAAGAATAACAGGGTTGGAAAGGGGGACCAGGGAAGTGAGCTAGGAGAAGGGGGTGAACAATGACCATAGGTTTTAAAAGCTTCATCTGTGAGACTTGACTGAATGACAGCTAATGAGGTGGAGAAGTGTGATATTTTCAAAAGCTATATGCATCTAAAAGGGAATAATTTGGAATGATATATGTCCACTGTTTGGTGTATGCTGCATGTTGCTTCACCATGAAGGGGGGTATGGTTCACAGAAAGCAATTATTATGGTGACTCATTTAATTCAAAGTCATATCTTTAATTTAAAAGGGTAAAGATCATTTCAAAGTAGCAAGACATATTAGTGGTTATTACAAAATAAGGTGGGTGGAGTAAGAGACACAAAACGGTGCTTTTAAAGCATGTTCAGATCTGCTGCAAGGTTACCCCAGCAGCTTGAGGTCCCTATACACTGGAAGAAAAAGCATCTTCAGTCCAGCTGCTAATCTAGGTTCAATAGCAGGGTATCAGATTCAGTTTAATTTTGAAGAAGCTCATAGTTCCGACCTGCTCCTGGGACTGTAATCAGGTTGATTCCCTGGCAAAACAAAACTAAATGAAACCAAGAAGAAAACAGTTTGCCTGTAAGAGCTGTCCCAGTGGTAACCATACTAAAGTGAAGAGGCGTCTCTTTGAGAGAAGTACTGTGAAAGTCCCGTTACTAGGGATATTTAAAGCTTCAGTAAAAACAGCTCTGAAATGAGTGACTTGCTTTCATTGGGAGATAGACTGGGTTTTCTCTCTATTCATATGTTCCACATATAGTGGTAGCCTTGCCTTTTGTTAGCCAACTTTCATGCTTGAGGGAAAAAAGCCAATTTTATAAAGAATTTTTGTATCCTCATTTGAATAGGTATTCCTGAAAATCCCACTGTGGGACCACTTGCAATTTCAGTCTCCTCAGTAGCTTTGCAGCTATGGTCTCATTTGGCCTCACTTTAAGTCATCTGTGTCTTAGTGACACAAAACAGTGCAGTGCAACACTACAACCAAACTCCTTTTCTAAATGATTTACACATAATCATGAATCTCCTTGGAGGAGCACCCATTTTCAGTATAAGGATCACTTATGTCAATTTTTGTTGGATTTCAGTTAATCCTGAATTATTCATATTAGAAAAGGAGAGCCTAGCTTATTTTGACCTAAGACTGAAATAAGAGTGGCTATTAAAGCTGTGATTTTCAAAAGCCACAATGCCACTTATTCTTGCAGTCCAGGAATGCTCTAATTCATTCAGTGTCTTTAATGACTGCTGGGTTACTTATCCTGCACCATACTCAACTCACGTGACATTTGCACCTGTTGCCATCAAGCTAGCCACAAAGATGTGCACAGGTGCTCTGCATTTATTCCCTGTGATTTCCATTTTTTTTCCCATGCCTGCACAGCTGGGCCCACAGCACTGAAGACACCTAACTTTACAATATCACACATGATAAGAAATGGCCTCTATAATTTCCCTGTTTTCATCATTTTTGGAAAAAAAATGTGTTTTCTCTAAATTGTGTGGTGTATACAAACTGGAATACCTGGGTAAAAGCAAGAGTAGAATAATTTTAACATGCACAAAGAATGATCTGTACAACCCCTGGGTCAATGTTAATTATTATTGAGCTTCAGAATCATCAAAAATGCAAACATAACAGTTAAATCCC